AAAAGTTAATTTAGATTATTTTTTATTTAATATAAAAAAATTATAAAAATTGATTAAAATTTGAATAATTTTTATTAAAAGCAATTATTAATTTTTATATTGAGATACAAATCTTTTTATATTGATTTATATAAAAAATAATAATTTGTTTAATAAAAATAAAGCTAACTAATATATTATATATAAAAAAATATAATATTTATATTTATAAAAACTTAAATATTTAAATAAAGTTAAGAAATATTTAAATTTAAAGAAAAGAATAAAATATATAATAATACTCAAAGCAAAATATATATAAAAAGAAATTAAAGTGAATAATTATTTAAATTTATTAATTTATTAAATAAAATTAAAGATATAATAATCTATCTTTTTAATAAAGTATTCTTATCTTAATAATATTTAGTTATATAATTTGTTATTAGTTATCATTATTTGCTTTTTGTATTAATAATGCTTTTTCTTTACAGAAAGAATATCAAAAAAATTGTTATTGAGTTTAAGTTCTACTTATAATAATGTTTTAAAGTTGATATATTATTTATATTTACAAAATCTCAAGTATTTAAATTTAGATTTAAAGAAAAGAGTAAAATATATAATAATGCTCAAAGTAACTTATATACAGAGAAAAATTAAAGTGAATGGTTATTTAGACTATTAGTTTATTAAATAAAACCAAAGTGAAAATACAATGAACTTTCTTTTGATGAAATTTTCTAAGCAGTATCTGATAATAATTTTTTTGAGATCCCATGTTTGATATATTATGTTTGTCAGTCACAGCCATATCAATATAATCAATATATTATAGCCTTAGAATTTATATTATTCTCACAATCAACATGTGTAATGTAATAGTAATCAATGATAAAGATCTTGCATTATTCCACATGTACTTAATCCTTGATTTACGTTAAATGTTGAAAATCTATTTTTTAAAAATTAGACATTTACATCAAATTGCAAGATATTCAGATTATTCCCAACGTGACGTTACTCATGTCAATATAATATTAGTACTGTGGGAATATAAATTTACATCATTCGCGAGATCCATGATCACTATTAGTAATGATTATCCCAACATGACGTTACTCATGTCGATATAATATTAATACTGTGGAATATAAATTTTACATCATTTGCAAGATTTTCATAATTAGTAATGTGAAAAACCAGCCAAAATTGAAATTTTACTTTGTAGCTTCAACATTTGATGTCGCTTCGAAAAATTCTTATCAACATCAAAATTGTCTTTCCCAAATATGGTTTGCGCAGTTTGTTATCATGTGATCAGTAACAGATATAAAATCAGGGGTCGCTTTCGAAGTTAGCTATCAAACATCATAATCGTGCAGCTTATAAATTTATAAATTACCAGTTAAACAACAACCAGATCTTATTTTTTCTAATTTCTATAAAACAGCCAATAATGTCGTTCTTGCTTAAAAATGATACCCAACCGTTATTCGATCCTTCAGATTTGCCACATCCCGAATACCGACGACTTGACTTACTACTTCGATGTTCTGTCTGCTTTGAATTCTTCCAGACACCAATGATTACTAAATGCGGGCACGTCTTTTGCGCAATTTGTATTGACGCATGTATTACTAGAGACCCGGGGTGTCCGCTTTGTCGTGCGACGTGTTCTCCGAACGATCTTAGGAAGGATATTATTCTTCAAGATATAGTGAATCAGTATAATATAATTAGGTAAGTTTTTGAATATGATTTATTGATCTTATAAATCAGCGAATTAATTGATGTTTCTTTTCATTATTGTATTAGGCCAGAACTATTGAAAATCACAACAGAAAACCCGATGCTAAAGAACGCCAAGAAATCAGAGATGTCGCATTCTGTTGAGTTAGGAAAATCAAAAACAAATGCGGCAGAATCATTATTCCCACCAACGCCAACATTACCATCTTCAGGTTCGTCACCCGAAGTGGAATATCTTTACACAATCTTTCGAGATGTATCTCATCATCGAACTCCCGTAACTAACAAGTATGTGATTTCACAATTGTTTTCTTGATTTAAAATTTTGTAATTCACCAGATTTCTAATTGAGATCTTTTTGCTGATTGCCATGGAAATATTAACAGCAACACAAGTGTTATCTCAAAAGCCGAAATGAAGAAAAAACCAAAGATCGTCTACTCGCTTATGAAAGAATCAAAATTACGTGAGATACTTAAGGCAAGTACAAACATGTATTATTCATACCCATTGGTGTGATCTTTTGAAAATCTAAGTTTGTATAATAAAAATTATACATTAATACAGAAAGAGGGCTTATCAACATTCGGTAACAAAGCAGAAATGATTAAAAGACACGCGGAATACGTAAATCTCTATAACGCGAACATGGATTCCACAAATCCGAAATCTCATCGCGAACTCTTGTCTAATATGAGGATTTGGGAAACTGCCCAAAGAAACAACAAAAAACGGAATACAAATTCCTCAGCACAACAGCATCTTAACAAATATCAAGATCAGTTTAACGAGTTAATTTCTAAAGCAAGAAAAAACATGAGTAGACAATCTTCATCATTGCCAGTATCGGTTACTTCTTCAAGTCAAAATGGACCAGGTCCTTCAAGACAAAGTGGACCAGGTCCTTCAAGTCAAAGTGGAGGCCCTTCAAGACAAAGTGGACCGGGTCCTTCAAGTCAAAGTGGAGGTCCTTCAAGACAAAGTGGACCAGGTCCTTCAAGACAATCTCATAGATTTGTTGCTGCTTTGTCGCCTCGAAGGCAACCTTATTCGTTGCCTCGACGACATCGCGGCAACTCATAATTTTCAATTTTTTTAAGTAGAAATAGAGAATATTGAATTTTTTAAATATTCTATTTCTACTTAAAAAAATTCAAAATAAAAGTTAAAAAAATTAATAAATTTGTTATATTATTTTATTTTTATCTTTTTTTTTGTATTTTTTATATTTTATTTTAATGACAAATATTCCATGTTTTACCAAAATCCTATTAAATAATTGCAAGAAAAATTAATAATAAAATGCAAAAGCAAGATCGCATGCATATTCAGAAATAATGTATTTACCATAGTTAGCTTGAGTTTCACGCTTCGTCTTTCGATTATTGGCATATTGTTCTTTGAGTTCGTTTTCCATCACTGATGTCTGATGAACCAAGTATGCGAGATTATGCTTACGTTTTTGACCTTTTAATGCTATTATTTGAAGATGAGAATGTTGGCTTCAAAAAAGTGAACTAATTTAATCAATGGTTAATTATAAGGACATTACCGAGTCGACACTTGTCCAGGTTTGGTTAACTGCGCCATCTGGAAACGCCACGCGTCGTCACCCAATTGATCACGGGCGTCAATATTTTTTATTTGTATTGCACCTGCTTCGCGTTCTTTTTTGTTTCTTCGCCCTCCCTAATTTTGCTATCTTTGAACATGAGAGATCGTAATGAATATCAAATAGCAGAAAAAGTTTCTTGTATCATACAGTTGGACAAAAAATTCACCTACTATTTCTTCATTTAATGCAATCTCCGATTCTTCTTGTTGCTGTTGTAGATGCCATGACGAATCATTAACACCAC